TCACAGTTTCATACAGATTGTATTCTTCCCACACATCTAATTTTCACACTTGTATTGGGATCATCTAATACCAGAAAAATAAAAATAAAACCGATTAATTTTGAAGTAGGGTAATATGGATATGGTTTCTGTTCATTCCCCTCGGAAAATATACCATTGTGCATAGTAAGAAGTTTAACTGCCGTATTTGTATTAAACCAAAGTAAGCATATATACAACCATTGGTAGCTCTTAATTACAATGGTAAGCTTGTATAATGTTGCTAAATATGAATGGCTATTTATAAAAAAGCAGACTAAGTCTAGTCATCTCATTTCTATTGAATCTTTTATGTCATGTATTTGAATATATTTTGTCATTACGGATTTGTAATGAAGCTACAATTTAGTAGGCCAACATTTAAAATATATTAACTGTAATGTGCAATATCAAAAAACACTATAATTAAAATTATGACCAAGTACTCAATTATAAGTATAATAAAGTACACGTGTAGTACAGTTGAAGTAGAGTTGTTTATCATATAGCCTATACTTGTAAGATATAAATACACTAAGATTAAATGCACATTTAAGATATGCACATTCAAAACAATTAAGCGCTCTTGTTTTTCACAAAGGGAGCTCAGTCCAGTTGATAAATTAGATTTATGGCTGGTAAACAGTCGAAAGTTGAGATTTAAGGAGGGTTTCTTCTTCTTCCTTTTTTAACTAGGTAATGAGGATCTCTGGCCAAGAAGGTCCGCAAGTTTCTGGTTTCTAAAGGAAGCTTCTTCACCCAGTTCCGGTTCTGGGACTTTCTATGGGGGCTTAATAAAGGTCTAGGAGGACAGCTGCCGGCTAGTTAAGCGGACAACTAACCTCTCGACTGCTCCTTGACTATTTCCTCCCTGCCTCCTTTGGATTTCCTTAAGAGATTTGTTTTGTGCGTCTTATATAGGCATACTCGTTCGGTCCTTCACTGGTCCTGTATAATCTCATGAATATTTATGCTACCATCGACGCAGCAAATCAGCTGAGCTCCTTCTGCATACGTTTATTGTGTAATTCACGAATTTACATCTGTCAATCCCTACGGTACTATCCGGCATCCGCAGTTTATCGGAACATCTCAATTCCTTTAAATCACCTAAATTCTGTCATGGCCAAATGGGGAGAGGGAGACCCGCGCTGGATTGTGGAAGAAAGAGCAGATGCGACAAATGTCAATAACTGGCACTGGTATGTAACACGTGCATGTCGGCAACAGCGTGTAAACCACAAGTTTTTTTCGCCCTTTTGTTAAAATAGCTGTATGAAGTGTCTCTTGATAGATGAAATTCTATTTTCCAACTTCATATTTATTCATCTAGATGTTAATTGGTTTAAAATGCATAAATGTGTGGGGGAAAAGTATATAGATTATGTTACTGATTACAGATATCAGCATTATGACCATTCTATACTTTAAATTATCATTTTAAACTATTTAATATTCTGTCTCAATGTGCGGTCAAAGACCATACAAAAACAGATTTAGAAATGTTTGCATCGAGAATGGCATATCATCTCACAGAAAACGTAAAAACTGTTTTATATTTTACAAATACTGCCTACATCTGATTCTTACAGCCATTAGGTTAGTTTTTCCAGTGTTTGCAGAAGCCTCTGGAATGTCCAGTAGTTGAATGTGAGGGGTTGGCAAAGTCTATTTTTGGAAGTACATGAATGTGAGACAGAATTAGACTCAGGGTGTTCTGATGAAAAGCAAACCGAGTATGACTTTTGAACTGTCCCATTTGAAATGTGTAAAATGTTACTTATCGGAATAAGTTATTTATATTATATAATTATCTATATTATAGTTTATCTATATTATCTCTTGCTCTCTCAAATGCACACACATGTGTGAGAGAGTGTTAATATAGATTACTATTATATATATATATTAGTGCTGTCAAACGATTAATCGCCCGCTTGGCCCGATATATGAGTGTGTACTGTGTATATTTATTATGTTTATATAAATACACACACATGTATGTATATTTTTAAGAAAAAATATGTTACGTTTATATATTAAATATATTTATATGTGATATAATTTATATGAATATAAATATATACATGTAAATATATGTAAATATATTCAAAATATATGCTGTATGTGTGTGTATTTATATATACATAATAAATATACACAGTACACACACATATATTATGTAAACAAAAACGTTTATTTTGGATGTGATTATTCGCGATTAATCGTTTGCACTACGTGCTGTCAAATGTGTGTGTGTGTGTGTGTGTGTGTGTGTATATATATATATTTTCTTAATCGTATACCACAGGACAGAGAGAGATGTCACAAGCTGGTCTCAAGATGCAATAAATAGCCTCCTTCTTGGGCTTCGTGTAGAGGGTGAAGAAGGCTCATGCGAGATCACAGACGTCAGCAATATAGATGGCGAGGCCTCTATCAACAACCGCAAAGGGAAACTCATCTACTTCTATGAGTGGGTTGTTAAAGCCTCATGGACTGGTGAGTCAAAGTTCTGTTTGCACACACAACATAATAATTGAATGTAAAGGTGAAATGAAAGACATGTTTTTTTTTCTTCACTGTAGGTACAAATAAAATGGGAATCAAATATAAAGGCACTGTGGAAATACCGAATCTCTCTGATGAAAATGACATGGATGACTTAGATGTAAGTGAACCTCTCTCCCAATTAAAGACTCTTTCAATACGAGTGAGCATGTTGAATGAAAATCTAACTTATGTTTGTTTGTACAGATTTGTGCTAGACTTTGTAAAGACCAGCCAAACACACCTCTGACTGACCTCATGAGAAAGGAGGGAGTCAAGAAAATCAGAATGGCACTGGGCAACTATGTCAAACATCTCAAAACAGGTGATGGATCTAAAACGTCATCTATTAGTAATTTCTGCTTTGTTTTATTTGTGCAGGTCATCACATTCTCGTAACTTGTTTTTACAGAGTTCTCTCAGGGTATGATTTTACCAACAGAAAGCGCATTCAACAAACAGAATCAGGAGACACAAGCCAAGGTCAAACTAGACAAAACCCAAGTAAGTTCTCGTTAATTTTTCTGGTAACACAAATATATACTAGACAGTATGCTGGTCATACATCCACCCTGTATTTTATGTCAGTTGCAGTCACACACACATATTTTCATGCTTGTTTTTGGATTCAAGTGATATTTGTGCACATAAATATTTCAGCTCTGTATCAAAATTGAGTATAAATGTTTTGGTCCCCCCACAGATTGGATCCTCCACAACAAAAAACGGTCCCAACACTGGAGTTAAAATTTCAACAGTATCTTTGACTATGAAAGACACCTTTCTTACCTCACCAGAAGAGTTGTACAGGGTTTTCCTAAACCAAGAGGTCAGAAAAAACTCCCCTCTTGTCTTGTAAATCCATACAAATGCAGTTGAAACAATAAATGTGTATGTATCCTGGTGTTCTTTATGCATAGATTATTTGATGTTGAACTCACTTGCTCCTTGTTTTTCCACGTGTGTAGATGGTACAAGCATTTACACACCTTGCTGCCTTTGTGGATGGGTGCTCAGGTGGCAAATTCCGGCTGCTGGAAGGAAATGTTCATGGGCAGTTTGCAGAACTGGTGAGAATGAACCTCTTATAATGGTTTTTAACTGTTAAATCAATTAATTTGGTTTAATTGATTTATCAGGTGAGAATTTCATTTTTTATAGTGCATTTCTCTATTGACGCATAATTTTCAACATAGATTTTGTAAAAATTGCCCATTTCTCTTTCAGATTCCAGACCAGAAAATTGTCATGAAATGGAGGTTTTCAAGTTGGCCAGCTGGTATGGTTTATTATTGTATATATTAATGTAGTATTTTGTTATGAACCCACATACTACTTTAATATTAGTAATCATAATATTTTTCTATATTATTTGGTTTTTATTTTTCTGTGTTATTTGTTTTGTGTATATTAAGGAAAGTCTATGAAATGTTTTGCTCATTGTTGATTGTTTATGGCCAATGTTCATCACTGTTATTGGATCTGTTTGCTTTAATCTGAGTTATGATTTCTTTCTAACTCTCTTTCAGGACACACAGCAACTGTCATTTTAAACTTCATAAATCAAGGTAGTGAGACAGAGCTGATTCTGGAGGCCAGAGGAGTTCCCAGCAATGAGGAGGAAAGAATGAAAGTGGGCTGGCAGAGATACTACTTTGATGCCATTAAACAGACGTTTGGTTATGGAGCACAACTCCGTTAAGCCAAAGCGCATGTTGTGCCATGCCAGAAACTCATGACATAATACAAATAGATTTAAAAAAAAAACACCTGTGAACATGAAACACTTGTATTTCCTGCCTGCGCTAGTTCATTGCTGGATTCCCGTGCCCGGATTTTTTATTTATTTATTTATTTTTTTTGTATTTGCTATTGCATTTGCATTAGAGCTTGTCATGTTTGAATGTAATATGTATGTTTGAATGTTATGTCTGGGCATTCCGGATATAGATAATGAACTATTTAAAACTGTGTATTTTATAAGTGACATTTTTTTTCTGTGATGAAGCAAAAGTCGAATTGATTGTGTAATCATGATACCTCTTAAATACATTGTCAAATCTGTGTTGTAATAAAACAAGAGATAAATGTTTTAACTTATACATGTTTTAACTTATAGGAACCATTATCGCTTATGAGTGTGGACTATTAAAATATTTGTAGACTATTTAAAATATTTATTTCTAATAATAATATAATATTTGATAACTCCCGTACTGTTTACTTCACACTCGGCTGAAAGAGAGTCAGCTGTTCAAAGGCGTTCTTCTCATATCCTGCAAACTGTCGTGTACACTTCTGCTCCATTCGCGTATCTCAGGCGCCGTGATACTCTTGTGTGTGCGCATCTGATTGGTCAACTGACTGTTGGAGCGCAGCGATTGGCTATTACCTACGATTCCGTCTCCTGATTGGTGAAGCCGCAGCGGATTAGGAAATAGGGGGTCGGTCAGTGAACAGAAATATGCTGTAACACGAGAAACCCTAACGACGGCTAAACTGTTACTGTCTTGTGTTGTTGAATTTGATAAACATTGCAGGTGCCTTGGAAACATTGTTCCGGAAATCGTCTTGGAATATTTTCATGGTCCGCGACCGACACGGCATTACGTTAGTCTCTGGGAAGTGTTGTGTGTTTAGCTGTGTAGACAGGCTGTCACTGAGTTAGTTACATTGAGCTGCTAGCTCAAAATGCTTTGGTAAGGGTATTAATGTCCAGTTTATGCGAATGGGTTGTTTTATTATAATCCATTTTTGCTCTTGGGAGAAGTTTCTGGTTGACTGGCTCGCTGGTCAAGTTCTATAGCTAGTCGGTTATGCAGTCAGGTGCAGTTCACTGACAGATTTATATAGCTAAATGGCTAGCTAGGACAACAGACAGTTAAGTTAGTGTGCAGGTTTAATTAAGTCAGATTTTTAGTCCACTGCGTTTTGCACACTCTGGCAACATGAATCCCACTAAAAAGTCTTGTCTGGTCCTTGTTGTGGCTTTAGCTGTGACTTTGGAAGTGACAGCTAGCGGTGAGTCAGAGGCTCTTTTTCAATTATTAGGAAAATGTGTGTTTATTTAGACGTTAACTAAGCTATTTAACATTAACATTTAATATGTTAACGTGTTGTATATAAAGTGTTTATGAGTTGGCATTTTGATTGCAGAAGTACTTCAAGATGATGGAGTTGCAGAGGGTGGTGAGTCTCAGGTAATACAGCATTTAAACATAATGATATATTATCAGAGCCATTTAATATGCAGTTGGGTAGAAGTGTTTTGTGTTCGTGATACCTGGTATTGCATTTTGAGAAAAATAAATTAGATTCCATGTTCTCAATGTAAAATTTAAAATGTATTTTTTTTTCTTAAAACACCACCGTATACACACAAATAGTGAAAATATTGATATTATTTTGACTAATTGTGTGTATACATTCATGTACAAAAAGATCTCTCTCTAACACCCACACATACATGCAATATGTATGTGTGTGTATATACTGTATATATATGTATAAAGGAAAAAAAGTGACGTGACATGTGACCCATACTCGGAATTAATTTAACCCATTTAACCCATCCAAAGTGAACACACACACACAGCAGTGAACACACACCCGGAGCAGTGGGCAGCCATTTTTTTGCTGCGGTGCCCGGGGAGCAGTTGGGGGTTTGGTGCCTTGCTCAAGGGCACCCCAGTCGTGGTATTGAAGGTGGGAGAGAGCACTGTACATTCACTCCCCCCACCTACAATCCCTGCCGGTACGAGACTCAAACCCACATCCTTTGGGTTACGAGTCCGACTCTAACCATTAGGCCACAACTTCCCCCATATATATATATATCTCTCTCTCTCTCTCTCTCACTCTCTCACTCACTCTTTCTTCTAATTATTCCATGTTTTCTGTCTATGGTCAGAGCGCAGATAATGATGGCTCCAAAATTGTGGCGGGACATGCGTATGTCTCTAAAGATGCCCAGACCGACAGCAGTACAACAGACACTGGAGTAGAGAGTGAGGTTGAGGGGGTTGAACAGGAAGACCTTCCGAGTCAACCTCCTCCACCAGAGGAGCGTCATAAAGAAGGTGAGTAGATCCAGATGGGGCCTGCAGGTGCTTCCTGAATAAGATAAAGTATTCAGGTTTTGTCTGTAGGTTTCTCTGTACATTTAGCATAATTTTATTAATCTCTCTTTACTATGTAGCTAATCTTTTGCTCGCACATTCAAGGTTTTGATACCGTTTGAGTCCCATGTCGCTTAGTTTAGGGTTTTACAGCACAAGATCTTTCTTTGTTGCTCTCCGCATCACAGCTTGCAGTGTTTATTGAGAAAAGAAACCTGCTCACTCATGCATTCACAAGTGTTTAGTTTGTTTCCTGTGAAAGTATCTGGTTATTGTGTCATTTTCTCATTGGTGTTTATCATAGTTCCGGTGGCGATTGGTGGAACAGCCTCTGGGGAGCCCTGCGTCTTTCCTTTTCTTTTCCAAGAGAAAGAGTATATGGAGTGCACTACTGAAGGCAGAGGAGATGGGAGGCTGTGGTGTGCCACAACATACAACTACAACACTGATAAGAAATGGGGCTTCTGTGAAAGTGAGTGAGCTGTTATTGGTAGCGTACTTTATATTGTAAAAATGAATCATATTGTGACTCTACAGTCTACATGAAATATGATACTACTTTAGTTAAAAGCAGAAGAGTTCTTGGTATGTTAGTCGAAATATGTTTTTGCTACTCTTACTCTTCTGCATTAGTAGCCTAGATATGAAAAGATCAATTCCAACTTTACCTGCACTATAAATTAATCGTGATTTTTAGCACTTTCAGTTGTTACACCAAATGCATGTGTGATGTATCTGTCCTCACAGCGGAAGAGCAAGCAGAGCAGAGGCGGTTGGTGGAAGAGGCTGAAGAACAGTACCAGGATGCAATTAAGATGATTAACAGCACCAACAGAAGGAGCCAGAAGAAAGAGTGAGTGCTGTTGAGCCATGTATTTTTTTTCTTGCAGTGCTGTTTCAACAGTTTTCCTATTATTTTTATGTCTTGAACCTACACTATCTGAAGAAATGTGCAAAAACTGTACTTTAAGTCTGTATCCAGTGCAGTACCCTCAAAGATACACCTCTGTACCTTACCTTCCCCTAAAGTGTGAATATTTGCACCTTAAAGGCCCATTCACAACAAGGAAGTTAACTGTAAAGATAACTATAATGATAATTATAGCAGCATCCACACCAACACACAATAACATTTTGTTTATTACAAGCACACGCTGCAGTTCTGTCATCTGCTGCTTTAAATACTCATGCTCTTTAAAGCAGGCTGTGATTCTGATTTGCTGATTCTGATTGTGGTTGGCTGTTAATATTTTTATCATTCATCAGCTGGAAAAAATTGTTGTGAAAGTAATTCCAACAGTATTGTTCCTCTGTGCCATTGTAGTTGTGGTGTGGACTCTGCTATTCTTTTACATTTAGAACGATATTAAAATTAATGAGATTAAAAGTATACCTTTATAGTTATCATTGTAGTTATTGTTGTTGATGTGAATGGGATTGAAATTTTTATTCAGTTTTACTTACCGTGTGGGATAGTTTTGGTTTCTGTATTGGAGTCAAAAGTATTAACGTGTATAATTGAACTAAGGTATAATTTTTTTTTTTTTATGAAATTTTATTGAGCAAGGATGCTTAAAACTGATCAAAAGTGACATTAATGACATGTCTAATGTCAAAAAAGATTTCTGTCAAATAAATTATTTTGAACTTGGAAAAAAAAAACGTATCCACAAAAATATTAAAAAGTACTGTATTTAAAATTAATAATGACAAGAAAGTTTTCTTGAGCAGCAAATCTGCATATTAGAATGGTTTCTTAAGTGTTACACGGGAGTAATGGCTGCTGAAAATTTATTCAGCTTTGTCATCGAGTAAAAATTATTTTTAAAAATTAATTAAAATAGAAAATATTAATTTTAAGTTGTAACAATATTTTACAATATTACTGTTTTAAAGTATTTTAATCAAATACATGCTTCCTTGGTGAACATAAGAGACTTGCCAACCACAAAATATTAAACCGTAGTGTTTATTCAGATTTATATTTCTGCATTACAGGTTGTACGACAGACTCCTGAAAGTTGCAGAGATGGGTCATGCCAAGGCCATGGAGAAGGTGGCATATGCTATGCTGTTTGGAGACTACTTACCCCAGAGCATTCCTCAGGCGAAGGAGATCTTTGAGAAGCTGGCACTGGAGGGCTCCCCTAAAGCCCAGACTGTAATAGCAACTGTTTATTAACTAAATGTCATCTTTCTATGTTAATACTGATGCTTTGTTTGTCCTGTGACTCATTTCAAGCCGTTTCTTAAGAATAGCAGCTGTGTGTGGGGTTGTGTCACTGCTGTACTATTGCATCAGGAAAAGTTTATTCCATTTTATATCATTACTTTTTTTTTTTTTATATTGAGAAACCAATTTTCAATTTGTGTTCACACAGGCACTTGGTTTCCTATATGCTGCAGGATTAGGGGTGAACTCAAGTCAAGCAAAGGTATTCCCTAATGACATTTATCTAGAAAGCACAGCCTGCTTATTTTAAATGTGAATGTTTAATGAAAATGCTGTTTTTCATCTAATTGCAGGCATTGGTGTACTACACCTTTGGAGCTTTGGGTGGAAACCTAGTAGCACATATGATTCTGGTAAGAAGAATGATTCTCTGTCCTATATTTTAAACAAGGGAGGATCCTGTTCCACCGAGGAAATTAGACTTGATGACTTGCTTATAGTATGCGTCAAGTCTTTATTTGACTTTGCATATATCAAGTTGAGTGTCTAAACAAACCTTTGGATCTATTGAAGTTCTGACCGACACGCTGGCTCAGTTACATGCAGCAAAGTTGAAACCTCAGATCATGTGGCACCATAATTTATCCATGACTACTTTCTTAATGCATTGGTGCGGTGTAGGCTTGTGTTTAGCCTGCATTTCCTGGCTGTGCCATCTGCTAAATGCCATCATTTTTTTTCAGGGCTACAGATATTGGGGAGGTGTTGGGGTTCCTCAGAGCTGTGAATCTGCTCTCACTCACTACAGACTAGTGGCCAATCATGGTAAATCTTGTCACATTTATATGCAGTCCTCATATGTCTAAACATATCGAATTTCAGCACAGCATCTTTTAAAAGATGTTATCTGGATCCTTGGTCGCCACTCGCCTTTTTTCCCAGTCTGTCAAAGGAAATGTTTAGTGACTTAAATGCTACATGTGAGCAGTGCAGTGTGACCATAAAACTATAACATCTCTGTAGAAATGTATTTTTCATTTGAATTACACTCATACTGCTCATGAATAATCACTGGTACTGCTCAGTTGTTCTCACTTTGTCCATATCTAACCTCAGTGATGATTAAGTCTTGCAATATCAAAGTAACTACTTTTGTAACGAAGACTTTTTTGTTTTTTTATTAGTGGCCAGCGATGTATCACTGACAGGGGGCAGTGCAGTACAGCGGATCCGGCTCTTAGATGAAGTGGAAAATCCTGGTTCTAGCAGTGGAATGCTAGAGGAGGATTTAATCCAGTACTACCAGTTCTTGGCTGAGAAAGGAGATGTGCAGGCACAGGTAAAATAAAACCATTCTAATTTGTCTGTAAGAAGAATTTCACCCTGTGGCATTATTTGAAGTTGAACATAGACTGTATCACTGCAGCAATTAATGGCCTTATGTACTTGTATTTTTGACTGTTACTATCACACTTACATTTTCTTGTCTAGGTGGGCCTGGGCCAGTTACACTTACATGGAGGACGAGGTGTGGAACAGAATCATCAGGTAGTTTTTTTTTTTGGGGGGGGGGCTCTGACATTTTATGTGCATTTCTTCGAATAATTTGAAATGATGATTTTATAGTTACTTTCTATTTGTCATTATTTTCAGAGAGCATATGAGTACTTTAACCAAGCAGCAAATGCAGGGAACACACATGCAATGGCCTTCCTTGGAAAGGTATAGACTTAATTAGTCCCTTATTTTGAGTTTTCCTGGACTGTAGCTGAATGATCTCACTGTTGTTCAACCTCTGTGTCCATTTTTCTTTCTCTAACTCTCATTCTGTTGTTTCAGATGTACTCTGAAGGCAGTGAGTATGTGCCTCAGAACAATGACACGGCCCTGCATTATTTCAAAAAGGCTGCAGATTTGGTGAGAATTATTTTCCCCTGTCAAGATTCAGAAACTGTTCATTTTCGAATGTTCTCTAATCTGTCATTTTTGTTGGCATCTTTTTAGGGAAATCCGGTTGGCCAGAGTGGCCTCGGTATGGCTTACCTGTATGGAAGGGGTGTTCCTGTGGTGAGTTTCCTAGATGAGATGAAGTTTATGCAATCACTCAAAGATCTTTTGAGTCATTGTTTCTTCTCGATCCTGCAGAACAATGACCTGGCACTGAAGTATTTTCAGAAGGCTGCAGAGCAAGGCTGGGTGGACGGACAGTTGCAGCTGGGAACCATGTACTACAGTAAGTGTGTGTCAGACAGAGAAATTGCATGTGAATAATTTGCTTTCATTTTTTTTCTCTTCACTTCTGCTTCTTTACTTTTCCTGCTGTTACTGCAAAAGGAAAAATCACAGAGCACAGAGAATGACAATGCCGTGAAGAGTTTTTAACAGGCTAATTTTATGTGTATGTATCAGGTACATGTATACGCAACTCAGTATTTCCGCGCTGTCTGAAACTAGTCTCTTGTACGCACTTTGATTGTGTGTGAGAACAGCGCGTGAGTAACGAATTGAGCTCTCTTTCGTTTCTTCTTCTTGTGCTTTAAAATTGCTTGTACGTGTAAATTGGCAAATTAATCTGCGAATCACGTGTGTGCCGAACGGTAGGGTCTCATCCGTACGTATTACGGATCAACTGCGATCCGTTTAACTCCTAATATGTGACAGATCAGAGCAATCTTTCATTTACTTATTTAACATGAAATTGTCAAATTGCTACTCCATATAAATCGCATACAAAGAAAAATACTGAATAATTATATCAATCATTAACATAAATAAATAACAGAGTGTCATATCTATACACATTTTTCCCAGAATGTTCTTGCGACCCGGTAGCAATTCTTCCACGGCCCGGTAGTGGGTTGCGACCCGGTGGTTGGGGACCTCTGCCTTAGAATATAGAACAGGGAATTATTATTATTATTATTATAAAAATTATTTCAGACATTCAAATAATTTTACCAGACATTACTAATTTCTAAATATAATAATAATAATAATAATAATAACAACTGATACTGATATTTTATGTATTTATTTAATAGACTTTTGTAAAATAACATTTTAAACAAATATGGAAAAACCATGAAAATTTGTGAATTTTTCACGATTTGCTCTGCTCTAAAAATATTGCTTCAGTATATATTTCTGTTTTTCTTTTCCCTTTTTCTACCTGCCTGTCTAGCTCACTCTTCCACCACTTCAATAGCGATTTATCTTATTTTTATCTTAAATCACAGCTAACTCCTTTTGGTTTGGTTGCCTAGGTGATTGTTGCCATGACAAACTCCCACCTGCATTCTGCTTTGGCATGATTTTGACAAACATTGAGGACTGAGAAGTGTGTTAGTCATTTCAGCTGGTGGGTGTTGAGAGTATAAAAAGTGCATTTATGACTTTCACTTTCTTCATATTTTAGATGGAATCGGGGTGAAGCGTGATTATAAACAGGCTCTTAAATTCTTTAACCTGGCATCTCAAGCGGGTCACATCCTAGCCTTCTACAATCTAGCTCAGATGCATGCCACGGGGACTGGGGTCATGCGCTCCTGCCACACTGCAGTGGAGGTGAGACGCTATTTCATCATGCATGGCCATGTTTCAAAAAACTTCTCTGATAGTTTACCATGAATGTATGTGTGTGAGACCAGCTCTTCAAGAACGTGTGTGAGCGCGGCCGCTGGTCTGAGAGACTCATGGCAGCATACGGAAGCTTTAAGGAGGGCGACATGGACTCTGCTCTAGTACAGTATCTACTGCTGGCCGAACAGGGCTACGAGGTCGCCCAGAGCAATGTGGCCTTCATCCTTGATCAAAGTGAGTCAGTGATTTGCCACTACCATCAGAGGGTGCTAAACCCTTAACACCTACATGCAAATTAATTTTGGTATTAGGTCAAAAGTTGGTCTGAGAATAGTTGATCAGCATCTGCCATTTAATCTAGATTTAGTTTTTAAACCATATCTTTATTTTAAAAAATATGAATAACAACAACAACAACAACAAAAAAACAGTTTATGTATACTTTACCTACCCATTCTGCCCTGACAATAATCTGAAATTTGAAATAAAGAACAGATTTCCCACCCATAGTCATTAAGTCATGGAAATTTTTACTAATTGTTATTTTTAGGCCTGGAAAAGTCATGGATGTATGACTTTTATATTTTACGGAGAGTATGCATTTCTAAAGGGAATATAATTATTATTTCATGTTCTGCTCTAAAATATTCAAATGCTTTTGCTAGTTAATCAAGATGTTACTTTTAAGAAATTATTACAATTAAAATGAATGTTTTGTCACTGACATGCTAATGAATAACTGCCATGGAAATCTGTATATTATGATTTCTTTTTTTAAAGGGGTCATGAGCTGCCTTTTTATATTATTTTGTACTGTTCTCTGAGGTCCCCTTATAATGTTCTCAAGATTTTTACATCAAATTACATAATTCAGAAGTAATAGGCTGTTTTCTCTCCTGTTTTTAATCCCCTCATCAGAACGCTCTGTTTGAATAGGAGTCAGTGGCTGATTGTAGACTCCGAAGCAGAGATGGGCACTCGAGTTAGTGACTCGGACTCGAGTCGCATTTTTATAGACTTCAGACTTGACTCAGACTCGACCTGAAATGACTCCAGACTTGACTCGACTCGAGGAAAAGGACTCGTGAATATTTTAAAAGCAACTCGAGTCTTTTAACCTTAAATACTTATAACTGATATTCAAAAGGCAGACCGCATCCGCACCCCGGCATCCATCCGGACCGCGAGCGTAACAGCAGCACCATTTTAAGTGAGCAGCGCGTCAAAACAGTGGAGCGGATCACATAACAAGCGCTCAGGGTCGTTTATGGTAAATATCTTTCAGCGCTATATCCTCTAGTATTTTTTATCAAAAGCCAAACGCGCTTTATTCGAGCCCTTTCAGCTCTGTGCGCTTTCTCTCTCTCCGGACGCGCGCCGGCGCCAAGCTCAAGAGCTGTGGATGACGCGGTTATTTTAACAACAACAGAAACACGGAGAGTAGCAAAATTATAGATTACTTTCACTGAAACACAGCAGAAACAAAACAATGCTGCAAATATAGTTGTTTTTCTTACTATCTATTTATCTAACCTATTCAAACCAGATGTGGCCACGTTTCTGATCTACATTTAGCATTATTAATCTGGCTAAGAACATTTCAAAAGAATCATGTAATTATAATTGGGAAAATTGTTGTTAGATGGCTAGAACTTAAACTTTGAAATTGCTAGATATCTTTCTTTTCTGCTCAAGATGAGAACGTTTTGATTATTGTTGCTACATTGTTTTTAGATAATGCTTTTAAGTAGGCGAACATATTAAAATAGTATAGATTTCAGGTGGAAAACCCTGAACAGAAACATGTAGCTAAATGTAAAAATGCAATACATTAATTATTTTTTTTTTTTTTTCCGGACCTCTGCTTGGAAGAAAATATAGAGGCCTCGCCTCTTGGAACTTTAATTGAATACCCCTGACTTATACAGGGGTTAAAGCAAAAAAAAAATCCTGAGCCTGAACTTTTTACCGGGAGTTGAGGGGGCGGACACATACACAGGGTTATTTGGCAAACAAAAAAAGAAAATTATTTTCCTTGAAACGAACTAGTAACGTATCTGCCATTGCCATTAGCCCCTGACAGGCTCAGACTACAGATTATGGTGGGATATTTGAAACGGCAATAACAAGAAAGGTTACTCACTACAATATGGTGCAAACACATGTAACATTTAGGATGCTTTTTATATCAAGGTTTGCTGGTTAGCTTTGTCCTTGACAGGGTACAAGATGACCTACAATCTAAAACATGACATTTCTGAAATTGCTTTGTTCAAAAGAAATAATGGTAAATTAAAGGGGTCATATGATGTTGCTAAAAAGAACATTATTTTGTGAGTGAATGAGAGTGAACGGAGGCGGGCGGGCTAGAGTGAGTGGAGGCGGGTGGGCTTAGCCTATATTGAAGTATGGTTAATATATTATTATATTAATCAATTTAATATAACGTGCGACTAGTTGACTAGAAAAATATTTAGTAGAGGGCAGGCCTATACTTAGCACAAGGAAGCTCTCCATTTTTAAAATAAAGTTTTCCCTTTAATACATAGCCTACCTTCCGCAATATATTTTTCAATTACTTTCAAAAAGTGGTAGGGACAATATCGACCCTGGCAAAAAGTGGTGGGGACATGTCCCACCCGTCCCACCCTCAAATTACGCCTATGGTAATATCTGTGTCACATATTTCCTTGTGTGTCATGGTAGATCGGACTCTTATTATAGAATTTCATTACAGAAAAACTGTTTTGAACATGGTAATGGATTAAAACATAGCCTAACAGGCTGGATGAACAATAATCTTACATCTTAATACCTCTTTTTTTTTCTTTTTTTTTTTTACAAAGCAGATCATGGAATATATATGTTGTCTATAGCCTATAAAACAGCTTCGTAAATAGGAAGATTTCAATACATGAGGATTCTGAATGAGATTTTTTTTTAGCAAGCCATTAAATGACTTGAGACTCGACTCGGACTCGTGACCAAAGACTTGAGACTTGACTCAGACTCCAGGTTAAAGACTTGTGAACATCTCTGCTCTGAAGTAAACATCCACTGCTATGATTGGCTATTAGTTGTGTATGTTTGACAGCACACATCCTTCATAGATGGACGCTGCTGGATTTTAGGATAAAAATGCATAAATTCTCAGTACATATCAAACGATCTGTAATAACAGACAAAGCAATAGTGACCACGTAATAAAAAACAGTTACTCACACTTGTGTGGTGCGACATTACTGTCGGATCCAATATAGTCGGTACAACATTGTCTTTTAGTTTCAGTCTTTCTGGAAATCCTGTGTCGAATTGTGCCTTGTTTGTAAACGAATCCGTAGTCAAATTAAGTGAACAAAGGACCAAGTTCTTACTGACGTGGTCTGGATATTAAAAATAAAGTTCATTTAATCCTTGCTAATGTTGGGATCAGAAGGAAGGCAATGCAAAGACTGTCCCTGCGTCCCAATGTGCATACTATTCACCCTATATGCCCTAAATAGTATTGAAAATTACTAATATCACATAGAATTTAGGATGGATAGTATGCTGCACATTGGGACGCAGGCTGTGTTTTTCCACAACTTGGCACTGCACAGCGTCTTGTTGCCTTCAGAGCCATCTTTATTGTTTGACTTCTGCGTAGACCTGCGTTCACCTCTCTCGCTTTTTACACTATGTGCGTGAATCGGTAGGCGGGGCCAAACAGGCAGCGACGTAGAAGCAGGTGTTGATCTTCTTCCGCAGAGGTGGTGTTTAGCCACATTATTACATCATCAAGTGGCACATTCCACAAGCTGTCGTTTTGGCAGACTGCCTTCAATATAAGCTGTTTTTACACTAACAAGAAAGTTTTGAGTTCTGAAACTTACATGATGTTTTTATAGTCCAGTGATTTTCTTATGTCAAAAGATCAAGGGAATTTAGATTTCTCAGTTCATGACCTCTTTAAAGCGTAATTATTAGTCATCTTAAATGACTGGGAAAAAAGTTATGGAAATTCATGTCTAAATATGTGGGAACACTTAAAGAAGGTCACAGAATCTTTGTGAAGGTAGAGCATTCTGCACAGAAAGCCTGAGAGACTACGTATAAAGATGTTCCCTTCATGTTTATTGTCCCTTGGTAAATTAAAACCCAGCTAAATTAAGCCATTTCACATTGTAATAATACATCTGACTCTGTGTATGTGTCTTTCAGAGGGATCACAGATTTTCAATGAGAATGAATCTTACCCACGGGCTTTGCTCCACTGGACCAGAGCAGCTGCTCAAGGTTAGACTGTTCTCTTCAACCCACACAGTCACTCTAGCAAAATGCCAAAGTGCTTTGATGACCTTACAACCATTATAGTGAGACAAATATAACTGCTTGCTACATGACTCGCTCAAATACTTGATTCTGGTTGGTCATTCGCAGCATCCTGCTGTCTCACATTTCAGTATCATTGCTGCTATTTTACTGTTGTCCCTGACAACCAATCTTTGTCATATTCGTATTACTTTCATATTACTCTTTAAAGAAAATTGATTACATATTGATAAAATATGCAATTTCACTATGTCATGCCCATTTATTTACTTACTTGGTACACAGCTACGTACGTAATAAGCAGGATAATGTAAAGTCAGACAATCACTGTTGCAAAATAAAAACATATATTTATGCATATTATATTTTGTTTTGCTATCAGGTTACACAGTGGCCAGAATCAAGCTGGGTGACTATCATTTCTATGGCTATGGCACTGGTGTGGACTATGAGACTGCAGTCATTCACTATCGTCTGGCCTCTGAGCAACAGCACAGTGCACAGGCCATGTTCAACCTAGGCTATATGCATGAGAAGGGCCTTGGTATTAAACAGGTGAAATATCTGTGCATATTTACATATAAGCAAGCATGTACATTACCGTTCAAAAGATTGGGGTCTGTGAGATGTTTTTGAAACATATTTTATGCACCCCAAGGCTGCATTTATTTTAATTTATTTGATTAATAACAGTAAAATTGTGACCTATTATTACTATAAAAAAACATTACAGAGCCGTTGCGTCTCGAATTCGAATCCCGGCTCGTGGACCTTTCCCGCCCCTATCTCTCCCACATCGCTTCCGGTCATTACACTGTCCTATCTAAATAAAAGGCAAAACGCCAAAAATAAATCTTAAAAAAAACAAAAAATTTTCTAATATATTTAAAAATATAATTTATTCCTGTGATTGCAAAGTCTCAAGTATTCAGTGTCACATGATCCTTCAGAAATCATTCATTTTTCCAATATGCTGATTTGGTGCTCAAGAAACGTATTATCAATGTTGAAACCTTTCAACTTTTTAGCATTTTTGTAGAAACTGAGATTAATTTTTTTAGGATTCTTTGTAAAAAGAAAGTTCAAAAGAACAGCATTTACTTGAATCAGAAACCTTTTGTAACATCATAAATGTCTTCCCTGTCACTTTTTATCAATTTAATGCATTCTTGCTGAATAAAAGTATTAATTTTTTGGATTGCTCCTCCACAGGACATTCATCTGGCTAAACGTTTCTATGACATGGCTGCAGAAGCCAGTCCTGACGCCCAAGTTCCTGTGTTCCTGGCCCTGTGCAAGCTGGGCCTTATTTATGCACAACAGTACCTGCAAGATCTTAATGTAAGTCAAATCTTTCAGTGAGAATCCACCTGAAATCTGATTTGCCTCAAGTCAAGGACTAACCAATAACATTAATCTTTTTTTTTTTTCTTAAGCTGAAGGAGCTTCTATCTCAGGTGGATCTTGACCAGTTACTGGGTCCTGAGTGGGATCTCTATCTCATGACTGTCATTGCTCTGCTCTTGGGCACAGTAATCGCATATCGGCAGAGACAGCACCAAGCCGTACCCAGAGCCCCTCCAGCGCCCCCTAGACCTCCAGCCCAGCCTGAGCAGCCAGCCGGAGAGCCTGAGGAACAATGAGAGAGCAGGTATCAGAGTGGAGGTGACCAAATGGGACAAGGATTACTGGAGAACGAATTGAGGCCCAATAGCGTTTCTCCCTCTGGGACAGCCACTGACACCTACACCTGCTGTGGTCTTTAATCCTGTTAACCCCAAAAGAGCTTTCAGGACTCTTGTTGCCCTGTCCAGCCCCTCCTTTGTCTTTTAACTGTGGCTTGGGGAAAAACTAGATGAACTTCTACAATATCTTAAATGTGCTCCTCAGGGTTTTGCCAGGTGAAATAACATTTGTGCAAATCAACACTCACTATGTGGGGGGGAAAAGACAACATTGCCGAATGAACTCCATTAGTTGTTTCTGCTTTTGCTTGTCACTGTGCTAAAAGCTAAGGATCGAACCTATTTTGTGCAACCCATTTTTTTTTTGTATTAAGTTTAGTACAAATTCAAACTTTGACACCATGCCTCTTTGGAACGCAGAGTGCAAGGTGGACTGTGCTCTGAATTCAATATGTAAAAAGTTCATACTCTCAGCATGCTTTCATTTAAGTGGCTTGCTAGCAGATTTTTTTTTCCAGAAGTCCAGAAATGATTTATAACGTCAGTATTTGGACAAAAGTAGTTTTCAGCAGCACATTGATGTAGATTTCACTGTCTCGATTCAAATGTGCACAGTTACATATGAATAAACTACACGGTAAGTAATCTAAGGTTAGCAGTTTTTCATAAGGCTTTTTATTGCCATAAACGCTCACCTTGCCAAATGTTGAATCATTCAGATTACTACTGCCTTTGACTTACTTTCATTGTTACAAAAGTCTCTCTGTAGGGTGTTTATGATACTAATTTAGTGCAATTATGGCTGGTGTCCAGTATGTTTAAGATTTTTGAAGCTCTAGTTACCTCAAACCTCATTCATCATTAGTCATTCAACCTTTCCAAAAGTTTTAAAAATGGGATTTAAATTCCTCTGCATACATGAAAAATATTTGAATTGATGAATGGGTTGCTGTATGGCTATAATGCTCGTTTTTTTTGTATTACAAGACACCTTTTTGCTTTTTTATTTTAAGATCAATACGTTGAATGCTCTCAGAAATGTTTTTGATGATACGCGTGTAAGATCTGTAGCTCTGTGAATTCCTGAAGTTGATCCATTTGTTTTGGGATGTGGCTGTTTGTGTGCTAAATCTCAGTTTTAGGTTCTTTGTCAGAGGAAAAATATTTCAGATCATTTCAGTTGTGAACATGTCTAGAATATCTATTGATTATTTGGCAATGGTGTCTGTCGTTTCAGGTAACATAGCAATACCACAACTTTTGGTGTGTAAAAAAAAAAAAAAATCTGTAATGTAAGCATATGTATGTGAATAGGATGTAAAGAACTGTTTTTCTTGTGAAGATTCACCAAAGCATTAGTTTGTTTTTGCAGAGTTCTCACAATTCAGCAATGGTTTGAAGCTTTGAAAGTAATATAACAGATTCCTCTATGTTCCATGTCAATCAAACAGCTCATAATACTGAAATAACAAAGGATGAGACTTAAAAAGGAAATAATTGCATTTTCAAATGGCAATGTTTCTAAATAACTAATAAAAATCAATGGGTTCACAGCTGAATGTAATTTCCTATCTTAATATAATTAGACCTACAGATGCTATTCGGTCCAAACACACATCCAGTGTGCACAACATCTCTCCTGGTCCAGATCTTGTGGGTCTGGTTCTCCCAGGCCCCAGTGCGACACGGTTTCTATTAAAGCTATCTAAAGTTGTGAATGGTCACCAGTCCTCTGGCAGTTGCATGTGTGCCTGGATCATGCTTTATGTCGGTGGGCCTGAACTTAGTCACTCAGCTGTTTTGGGTGGGGGAGATAAAGGGGCACTGATATAATGGCCCCGTTCTCTCTGCACGCACATCCATTGTGCTAACCCGCTTGGAAACGCTCCACCATGGAGTGGCTTTTCATTGCCATGGCAACCTGCTTGCTAGCCCTCTGTCCTGTCAAAGGTAAGTGCTAGAAGCATCCAGAGCTGGGATGATAAGATGGAGCGCAAGGCCCACGTTACATGTGTGAGATTGACCTGGGATGAAGGAACGAGATGTTTGCGTGGACCTATGTTGAAGGCCTCTGTGCTAGTCAGTGGAATTTTGACCTTTATTAAGTCTAAAGTGCTTATGGATCTTAATATTTTTCCCAAGGTGATGAGTGGAGGCTGGAATATGAGGAAGGACTCAGTCACTATAGTGAGGAAGCGCTTAGAAAGGTGCGTTTGTGTATTTGTAATGGAAATGTTTTGACCATCAAGGATGTTTTTGCGTTGGAATGTCACATGAGGCCATAAATACAACCTTCCGATTGGTTTATCTGTAATAAATCATAATGTAAAAAATGTATCCGGTTGGTCTATAGTGTGGTCCGTGGCCTGAATGATGTTTTAGTTGTGACCTCACAGTAACCAGCATGTTATTTTGTTACAGGAGTTTCCTGAGAAGACCAGGCCAGTCAGTTTCAAACACCCACCTTTCATGTGTCCTGACATGAGCCCCTCCTCTTCTGTGCCCACCTCAGGTAGGCTGGTCTAGGGTCAGTGTTTTGCCCACATAGTGTGATGAATGCAGACTTCTGATCTAAAGTCAATACGGTCAGACTTGATTATTCAAGCTGCCAGTACTAGTCAGGAATGGGACAGTTCTTTAATTCGATTTTTCACATTTTCTTTGAGGCTGTGAGGGCATTTTTACCTAGATGCTGATGTTTATCATTGGTGATGAATGTTAGCTCTTGTTGTACCAAAGGCAAACTTCATTACAGCAGAATCTTTAGATCATGTTTTGGTATCTGATCTTCTAATTCGCTGTATCTCTATTGTAGTTGAGCTGGTGAAGGCTGCGGATATTAAAGTGATCGCTGCCCTTGGGGATTCATTGACGGTGAGTGTGATTATTGATTCTTTTCTTTTTCAGTTTTAAAAACCACTGTTCATTAGTTAGCTGACAACAGAATTAATTATACACTACTTTTAATCACATTCACTCATGAGGCAAAATGAGGTAAACATCAGGGATAGTTCACCCAAAAATGTCAATTCTGTCATCATTTCATGTCGTTCCAAACCTTTATGACTTACTTTCTTCTGTGGAATACAAAAGCACTTTTGGTTACCATTGACTTTCATTGTTAGGACAAAAAACAATGAGATATTTCTCAAAATATCTTATGTTCAATAGAAAAACAAAGTCAAGATGGTGTGTAAATGAAGATGGAATTTTTATTTATGTGTGAACTATCCCTTTAAAGGGGTCAAGAACTGTGAAATCAAAATTCCCTTGATCTTTTGACATACAAGAGGTCATTGTGCTATGAAAACATCCTGTAAGTTTCAGAACTCAAAACTTCCTCATTATACTAAAAACAGTTTATATTGAAGCCAGTCTGCCAAAATGACAGCTTGTGGAATGTACCACTCTATTAAGTAATAATGTGGCTAAACGACGCCTCTGCAGAAGATCAACACCTGCTTCTACAGCGCTGCCTGTTTTTCCCCGCCCACCGATTCTACATCGCTAACTGTTTAGCCCTGTCCACCGATTCTACATCATTGCCTGTTTAGCCCCACCCACCGATTATCGCACGTAGTGGGTAAATGACGCAAACGCAGGTCTACGCAGAAACCAAACGATAAAGATGGCGCCGAAGACAACAAGACGCTGTGCAGTGCCAAGCTGTGGGAAAAACAGTCTTTGCATTGCCTTCCTTCTGATCCCAATATTAGCAAAGAGTGGATGAACTTTATTTTTAATGAAGATCCAGACGCGTCAGTAAGAACTTGGTCCTTTGTTCACTTCATTTTTTTTATTTTTTTACCACGGATTCGTTTACAAACAAGGCACAAGATCCATCTGTGAAGTACGGAGGCTGTCAAACATACACAACTATTAGCCAATCATAGCAGTGGGCGTTTACTTCCGAGTCTTCAACCCGCCACTCCTATTCAAACAGAGCATTCTGATGAGGGTGGACAGAAAATAGCCTATTACTTCTAAATTATGATGTTTTTGATGCAAAAATCTTGATAGCATTATAAGTGGACCTCAGAGAACAGTACAAAATAAAAAACAAAAGCAGTTCATGACCCCTTTAAGCAGATAGCAAAATAAGAACACATTTATAACTAGTGCAGTTACTGATAATACTGGTGTGTGGCGAATAAAGTTATAATAATCTCTAATAATTGTAATTCTCTCACTTGTAGACAGCGATTGGTGCAAATGCAACCACAGTTCTTGGCATACCTATTGAATTTCGTCACGTGTCTTGGAGGTAAGAGTATTACTAATATTAACATTGCTTTTGATTTCTTTATGACTACTACTTTTAGAAATAAAGTGACTTTTATTTGCCAATAAATTTGTGATGATTTCTTATTTTAACAGCTTTGGTGGCTGTGGAACCTTTCAAGATGTCATTACACTTGCAAGTACGTAGTTTTGCCTTAATGTCAGTCATATTCTGCATTTACAAACCGAAATCTGTTGCAAAATGCTTAAAAAGCATACAGCATTGGTGACCCAGACTGTTCTGTGCTTATGATTTAGACATCATTCGACTCTTCAACCCCCATTTAGTGGGACCCGCCCCAACTAAGACGGTCCATGGGACCCCGGCTCCCCTCTGCGAGACTGGATTTAACCTGGCTGCAACGGGACACAACACCTTGTAAATGCCAGTACATCAATAGTCATTCTTCATAAATGAGATATAACACTTGAAAATATGCCATCAAGATATTTTGACTTTAACTACAGTGGTGTGAAAAAGTGTTGGCCCCCTTCCTGATTTCAGGTGTGATAAACCACAGTTTTAACGGGGGCAAACACTTCTTCACACAGGGCCATGTAGTTTTGGATTTTGTTTTCCCTTAATAATAAAAACCTTCATTTAAAAACTGCATGTTGTGTTTACTTGTGTTATCTTTGACTAATATTTAAATTTGTTTGATGATCTGAAACATTAAAGTGTGACAAACATGCAAAAAAATAAGAAATCAGGAAGGGGGCCAACACTTTTTCACACCGCTGTATATTTTTAATTTTGCTGTGGTGTTTTATCAGCTGATGATATGAATTTTGTTGTCTTCCTAGTAATCTTCCTGAACAAGTCAGACATTTGATTGATACACTAAAAACATATGAGGTAAGCGTATTATTTTGTTACAGTGCTTTTGAATATGCTGTTTCCTACATCTTGGCATTGTTGTGATTTTTCTCCCCATGTTTTGCTGTAGGATCTTGACTTTGATGAGGACTGGAAACTGTTGACCATTCTAATTGGGATGAATGACATCTGTGATTACTGCAAAGACAAGGCATTGCTTACAAAGCTGTTTCTTTGGCAAACTACAGACAGAAGATTCTTCTACAGTATTGACAAATTTTGTTCACAATGTCAAAGCAGAAAGAGGAGGCTTAAAATAAATGTTAAGTTGTGAACATATAGATGCTTGTGAAGATGATCATTAACAGCATGTTTCATTGTTCTCATGAGAAACAGCAGTTCTAGGCTAGTCGAAGTGACCTTTAAAGAGTCTGTATTCTGTATTCAGACATATTGTGTTTTTGGAGCCTCTAAATTTATGTTCTCTATTTATATACACAGTCCCTGTTTTCGGTGGAGAACTTTGTCCATTACATGACTGTGTCCTTGGAGATGCTGATGAATGAGGTAATTTCTGAGAATTGGTCAGAAAAATTATTTTCGAAATGTGATTTATTTTCTCATCAATTTCAGTTTCTTTTTAAAATTATTGAACTGAATGTACTGTACCATATATTAAATTGGTCAAAAGTGAAAGTTAAGACTTTCATATTGTTACAAAAAATATGTTTCAAATAAATGCTGTTCTTTTGAACCCTCTATTAATCGAAGAATCCTGAAAAAAAAAAGATTTAAGTTAAGCAGCACAAATTTTTCCATCATTAATGATGATAATAATAAGAAATGTTTCTTGAGCAACAAATTAGCAAATTATAATACTTTCTAAAGAATCATGTGACACTGAAAACTGGAATAATGGCTGTTGAAAAAACGTAACAGCTTGTAACACTCCAAAGAGAAAGGAAAACTTGAAATCGCATCATATGACCCCTTTAACAAGGAAAAAAGTAATTTTGCATTGTAACAATATTTAACAAAATTACTGTTTGCACTGTATTTTTTAATAAATTATTAAAGCCTTGGTAGTATAGTTTTGAACATTTTCTTTTAATTTACCTTTGCAGGTTCCTCGAATGATAGTGAACGTGGTCCAGATACCTTGGTAGTATAGTTTTGAACATTTTCTTTTAATTTACCTTTGCAGGTTCCTCGAATGATAGTGAACGTGGTCCGGATACTGCCGATGGAGACCCTGAGGGAAGTACAGAAACCCACGCCAGGATGTCTGCTCCAAAGGTACAGGAAATTAAATCCAGCTTTTATCAAGCTTAATCGAGCAAAGAGAGAAAGTGGTGTCATCGATCATGATTGCACATGGAAATTGCAGATATGCAATACATATCTAGTCACAAAGTGTAACAACATTCAGCCTGTTTTGCTCAAGATGATTGGCATG